CAGCCTCGTCCTGCGTTAGAAATCAACCAAAAAGTTCATAGAACAAAAATAAATAAAAAATATATCAGTTTGTGGTTGGGAGTTTTGGAAGTAGCATCTAAATTGTCCAAGACTGTTGACCAGCAAATGTCATCAACAGAGCAGCCCAAATCCCTGCTGATGGACTAGAGAGGAGAGGTTCCCAGTCTTTTCCTGTCTTTGGGTAAACTGACAACCCTTCACTAAGGGACATATTTCATGTTATACTCAGCAAGACGTTTCTGGTAAAACCAGAGTTTGGATGAATTTTGAGCCAGATATATTTCCTGTAGGGAACTTTTTATACAAGTTCTCTGTCTGTATTATGTATTTTTATAATTTTTAACAATCATACATACTCAATAGGCTTCTTTTTCTCCCTGATGATTGGCCATTGATCAATTAGAACATTTACTTTACATTTACATTCCCCCACAGAAGAGAACCAAATGCTGAGTTACTGTGTAACGTTTCATACACACATTCAAGTTGCTATAGTTAAATAAATAAGTTGTAAAAAGCTTTCAGTCCTGATATTAAAAACTGTAATGGTTGCAGTGGTTGCAGTGGTTCAGTTGGTTCAGTTAGTTCAGTTGGTTTCAGTTGGTGCTGTATAATGACTAATAACTGCTTCTCCCATTTTGGCTCTGACCTTTGACACCGCGAGCACCCCCAGGGTTATAAAGCTCATAACAGATGTGCATTTTGGGCCGACTCCATGTATAGATCTATAAACAAGTAATACAAGTTTAAAATCAATTCTATAGCTTATTGATAACCAGTTTAGTTTTGCAGCTGGATTTTTAATGAGTTGGAGGTGCCGCTTTTCCAAGTCTTCGTTTTCATAAGGTGGTTATATTTTTAAGGCCATAAAATGTTGATTTTGTTGTTGTTTTTACATGACTGTTGACACTATATCCCTCATTAACAAGATGTTCTGTCATTTAAGTCATACAAATGTGTGTATAAAAATAAAGGCGCCATTCTTTCTTGTGACATATTCACTGTTTATGTGAATATGATTTAAAATTACTGTAATACGATGAGTAATTTTTAAACCAAAGAAATTGTATTTTAAGTTAAAAAAGATTCTTTGATGAAGCAGCTTTTAATGGTAATTTAAAAACTTAATTTTGTACGTTACAGCAACATGATTGAAAATTAAATCAATGCCACTTAAAATTACTAAAACTATTTGATCAAGACTGTTTTTTAACTCATAAAATTAAGTTAGTGTTACTTGAAATGTTCAATGGAATCAGTTTCCACTATTTTTTTGTTAAACGAACGTATCTGGTTACTATAAAATAATCGTGTGGCGGAGTCTGAGTCGATTAAAACAAAAGGTTCCTCACTTGTTCTTTAGTTCGTAGTGACTTGTCCTTCAGGAGAGCAGCAACCTTGAGCTTTTCATCTTTGCAGCCAAATAAAAATTACCTGTATTTTGTTTCAGAAAATTTTCATGCATCCGATTCTTTATTTACTCAACACATTTACACAGTGAGTCAGTAGGACAGTCGGTTGGTCACAGAGCTCGGGAAATTTGGGTGTCATCGGCATAACTGTGATAAGTGAGGTTGTTATTGGGAAACATGGACAAAATAATCCCTCCACACAGGATCTCAGTCATTTTAAAATACTTCCAGGATAAACTGTGTAAAAGTAAACTGTGATAGACAGAATTAAAGCTAAAGATCTAAAAGAACTCAAATTGATGTTTTGTCTAAATCAGTGGATCTCAACCTTCTCGCTTTTCTATCATTAACTAAATTGACAACCTCTTACTAAATGAAAACATATTTTAATATATTATTTCATGTTTTGTTTAATGTATAACAGAATAACTGTAAACAGTGAACACAATAAAATGTAAAACGAACGTATTTGGATGAATTTTGAGCAGATTTTGATATATACAGTATTATGTTTTTATTTATTTATTATACAATCATACAGACCTAATAGGCTTCATTTTTGATAAATTCAGTGTTTTTCTTGTCCCTGAAGTTCTATTAGCTCTTTGGTTGTTATAACTGCATAATCTTTTAATGCAGATATATACGCCTATTGTGTATATTTTTAAAGTTTTCTTACACCCCTTAAAATCAAGACGACCTTGTGACCCTCCAAGAAGCTTTGGTGAACACGAGGTTGGGAACCACTGACCTAAATCACAAATAAAACGAACATAATTTAAAACCTTTTTACAAGATGTCTCTGAGCTGATATATGTATTAGCCTGATTGAAATGTATTAAAATAATAATTTAAAGTTAAACAAGCTGATTAAAAACTGTCTTTTATTTTGCCTAAAAGGGATAAAGAGATGAGACAGGTTGAAAGTTGTTGATGGTAGCGGTAAGTACAGGTTAGATTTGTTAAATAAGGGTTTAATAACCTAAACTTTTGTTTGTTTTCTTCACAGAAATTACTGAAATGCTGAGATATAGGCCTACTATATATATATTTAAGTTTTCTTTCACCTATTAAAATCTAGAACACCTTTGCGACCTCCACCGTGAAGCTTTGGCGACCCCTAGTTGTGGTGCCGACCCCCAGGTTGGAAACCACTGTCCTAATGCATGGCTGGAGGGAATCTTCAACATGTAAGTCAGCTTGTATTTCATAATTTTGAATAAACTAAGCCTTTAAGTTGAGTTACCTCATAAATTTAGCTTTAAAAGAATCAACATTTTGACTGTCTACCTTCATCTTGCTCATTGCAATATTATTATTCCCTGAACAATATTTTGCACATTCCTGCAAACTGTACAGCTCTTCATTTATTTGAACAGTTATATTGTACATATTGTCTCTTGTTTTATATTTATAATATATTGTATTGTTATACTCTTTTTATCTTTATTTATATTCTATATATGTTTACTGTAATGTACCAAAGCAGATTCCTTGTATAAAAGCTGTATTTTTGTGTAAAATGATAGACAGACAGATAGATAGATTTATCCCGAGGGAAATTCAAGTATCCGGTAACATACAAAATACAAAACATATCTGTTGTGCCTGTGCACTTTATCTGTTTCACCGTGGGAGAGTGAGAAACATCCTCTCGATTCCTTTTATGTTCTGGTGCATGTGGAAGTAATGACAATAAAGCCTGACTTTGACTTTGTTTGTGTGTTGTTGAATTCATGTTGAAGGTGGCTCTTTGTACAGACTGTGAAAACAAATTCCCTCCACTGAGGACAATAAAGTATGGCTCTGATAATAATAATATAATAATAAAATCAATCTTCATTTATCGACAACTTTATTTATTTATTTATTTATTTATTTATTTATTTATTTATTTATTATTAATT